CAAACAGAGCATGTGGATCGAGTTTTGGAGGTCGTACTGCGTAATTATGCTACGAATGGAGTGAATAGTTCCCTCTTGCAGAGTTTGCGTTGAACAATTCCGCGCATGTCTCGACGGGTCATTCTTCATTTTTGTGAGTTATGTTATTCTTCCTAGAGAACGTTCTTTGATAATGGACGAGGTCACTACGTTAGTGAGGGGTAATATTGCTACGGAGCCAAAGTCATACATCAAGGCTGTCTCATAGTTAAAAGCAAATTTCGACCCGATGATACCTCGAGACGACTTGCCGTGTCGTAAGGGACAATACGTGGATGATTTTATAATGATGAGACAAGCCGTTGTGCGATTTGTTCGAGGTGCAATGACCAAAGCTCAGGATCTGCAAAAAGAACAGGTAGATGAGAGGGAAGGCGTATAAGATCAATGATTTCGAGCTACTTAGCACGACAAATTTGCCCGAGCACGAAGTGTCTAACTTTGGATGCAGAAAGTTATTGCAAAGATCAATTGGACCCCTCAAAATGTTAAAGCGCAATGGTGAGGCGTATATATTAGGCAGACCTAAGAACACCAAGTAGGCGCGGGGCGTCCTTCTGGGGGAGTACAGCGTTCTGCTGAGGACTAAGAAAGGTAGAGGGCAGCAGGGCCCAGCCCCAAAGAGCCCCATCTCTTGAACACGGAACGGTTTGCAAGCCGGGCTTGCTGGTCGTAAAAGCGACCATGAAGGGCTTTGAGAAGCCATGGAAAATCCTTGCGTCGGGCAATTATGCTCGACGCTTCACGATAGAAAGAAGTCAGCTGTATGCTGAGGAGCCGAAAGCGCGATTGAATGACACCGTCACTGTTTGCTTAACGACGGGGACTTGTGTCACGGTGCCGAGGGTCGCTGTGGACCTCGGTGTCAAGTTTCTTAATTTTGATAGCGTGGAACGCTGCTTAGTCTTAGACTTGGATGCAAGGTATGACCTTTTCCTTTGGTAGGCCAGGGTTAAAACACCCGCAGGCAGAGCCCTTCTTCGTCTCCTGCACGCAGTGCAACTTCGACAGCAGATCCGAGGCTTCGAGAAAAGCGCATCTCAAGTCCTCGTTAACCGAGCACCGTTTATCGCGCCCACCACGGGCGACGGATTACCTCGTCGAGGATTTAAGGAAAGTCAACTAAGAGTCGATACTCCTTTCCCAGAATGGAAAAAGAGGAGGGTGAGGTGCACCAGCGGCGCGACGTGAGCCCTGCCCGAAGCTTGCGGACACCATGTCCGTTTTCCGACCCCTCGATTTCCGGAGGAATTGGTATCATTATCAATGATCTCGACGGGGCACAAAGCAGCAGCTGGATGCTGTCCGCGAGGTGGCTTTCATTCGCGCGCATCTATGGTCGGTCATAGACCCTCGAGTGGAATACGGCTTCCACTCGGTGGATCCCGCTACGAAAGCAAAGGACGCGATCAACCGATCGTTTGGTGTCAACGTCGTCGGGCCCCCGGCCATTACACAAGTTGAGCTTGACCAACGAAAACTCTCTGAGCTCGCTTCTTAACACCTCAAGCAATCCCAATGGATAGATACAGCGCTCGAATTTGCGATTGAAGAGGAGGCGCTTCTGTACCCGCAATGCGGACTATTTCTGTGGTACTCGCCCCTGGCAAAAAAGCTGCAGATTATGAAGAGTTCGTTGAGCGATAGGTGCAGCGGCACCGGAAACTTTATATAGCTGTCTACCTTACAGCAGAGCCACAAGGAGGTGGAAGTGTGGAACGCCATGTTTGGTTCGAGTTTTCCAACTCAAGAAGCATCGCCGACTATCTTCCTTTTGTCGCCCTTCGACGTACGGTTTCATCCATCACAGTTCTGCAGGCTCTGTGGAATCTCACACAGATGAGTCCGCGGCAACAGCAGCTCAGGACCATAAATTGAGCTCAGCTCATGGCCATTCGGCTCCCCGGGCTACTGCCGAGAAGCGGGGGTGCGCGATGACGCGGAGCGTCGTGATCCTTCCGATCATAAGCGCTCACGAAGTCTGGGCAGTCTTGCCGGAGTGGTACCTCAACCATCCAAGACTTCTCGGAGTCGGGTATCCCCGCCACCTTACAATATACTGGGTTTGACCCTGTCGACGAAGTTGACTCTTTGAGCTCTTGAGGACAGAGTCCGTCGCCATCGGGCTCCGCTGAGCATCATACTGCGGTCGTATACCGCTATGAAAAAGACATCGAGAGCTCGAAGCACTTTGTGCATCAACTGCCTCACGTTGAGAGCTATCATGCACTATCGGAGCGGCTTCTAGCCGATTGCGTCACTTCGAGTAATGGTGGGACGCCTGGCACCGTTGGAGATAAAAATCGTTGCACTTCGTGCTCAAAACCAGGTGCTGGTTTAGCTTTTGGGTGGTTGAGCGCAGGGCGCGCCGCCACGGCGCCAACGCTTCCGCGTACACTTGCGCCGGATCCCGGTACGGCTTAAGCAAGCTCACGTAAAACATGGGTGGGTGCGCATCCGTTTTAGAGGGTTTAGCGTATACGCAAGGCACCGCCTGGCCACGACCTTAATAGGTCTGATAATTTGTGGATTGATCTTTGTCTTAAGGACAGCAGAAGCCGCATGTGAAAGAGTTCGGCAGTGCCTTGAAGGCAGGCGATTTGGCCGAAGTGGTCAGGTTTTTGATATTTTTAATAAATCAACGTATCCGACATCAAAGTGTTTGACTTTTCATTTACTTCTTCCGTCTGCATATTCTTTCTGCATGTCTTGGCTTTCAGCCATCGTATTGCGAACGTGTCGTAAGGTAAGACACTCAGTCTGGTAGACAGGAAGTTATCGTCCTCTTTACGCACACCGATGAGGCTGACATCAGCTAGCCGCTTAGCTATTCCTCCCCGCCAAGCCCTGAAACATGGGATGGCGGCGTCAGTGGGATGCGAGGGTGAACCAGTCCGTTCACGTAGAACGGCGTGTAGCTGGTAGGCGCATGCACTGCAATGTTCAGAGCGAACTCTACAAGTGGCAGCATAACGGTCCAGCGCCTCGTCGTCTCAGTCCAGACGTTGCGAACGACGTATCCAACCACGCGATCACGCGCTCAGTTTGACCTTCTGTCCGCGGATGGTCAGCTGTTAACATCGTCAACTTGTTGCCCAGCACCTCGAAGATTGTCGACCAAAACTTCCTAGTGAAGCGTGGGTCTCTATTAGAGACAATTGACTCCGGGAGTCCATGTTTTCAAAGACGGCCAAATCTGGAGGGTACCGGATAACTGGCCAGCGGCGCTGCCGCATTCGGAGAGGGTATCATCCTTTGACACATCTCGCACGTATGTGCTCGTCCATTTATACAGCCAGTAGTGGCAACTCACAGAGCTGTAGGTCATCTCACGACTGGGTTGACCACTGAGTGGGGTGTCGTGTGCCTCATAGAGGATACAGTACTTCAGTCCTTACCGTGAGGAACCACAAATCGAGGTGTATCCGTCAAATCGGTGCAATAATACAGCAATTTGTTATTTAACGAATTTCGGTATGCAGTTGCGACGACAACTTCTTGAATAAGTTTCCAAATTCCTTGATCCCGAGAGCCCGTAGCAGCGCTACGCACATATCATCACTCGCGTATACGGCGCGGATCAAATTCGTCATTAACGACGTCATCATGGTGACATGAGTAAGCTCATAATCCGGTCTGCGTGACAATGCATCAGCCAAAGCATTCTGCTTTCCTGGCTTATACCTCACCCCGAAGTTATATTCTGTTAAGAAGGAGAGCCACCAGGTCATTCTCTGTGAGAGGTGAGGCGACTGAGTCGCAGTGCGTAGTGACGCATGATCTGTGTAGATCGCAAGCGGCTTTTGGTCAAGCAGGTGGAACCTGAACTTGACAAGTGCATCCTTCATCGCGAGTAAAGGATTTTTACGAATAGCGATCGGTCTTTTATCTATTAGTAGCCTCGAGAAATCGATCACTTTTGATAGGAGGCCTACAATTCATA